GACCAGGATGGACAGGATTAGGAATGAGCACATCAGAGGGACAGCTCAGGTCGGCTGTTTTGGGGACAAGGTCAGAGAGGCCAGATTGAGATGGTTTGGACATGTGCAGAGGAGGGATAGTGGTTATATTGGTAGAAGGATGTTGGAGATGGAGCTGCCAGGCAAGAGGTCAAGAGGAAGGCAAATGAGGAGATATATGGATGTGCTAAAAGAGGACATGAAGTTAATTGGGGTGAGAGTAGAGGATGCCGAGGATAGAGTTAGGTGGAAACAGATGATTCACTGTGGCGACCCCTAACGGGAACAGCCAAAAGAAGAAGATGAAGAAGAAGAAAACATTTCATATGGCGACTCCCTCAGTGGTTGTGGTTAAGATAATGTTAAGATTCAGATTAGAGGAAACATCTTGATGGGGAAACAGCAACAGGAGTTGTGCATATTCATGAACTATCCTCTTGTGTTTAGGAAGAGGCTCTGGGTTTTATCATTCTGAAATAATTACAGACTATTTGGAGTTATGAGGGGTGCAAAGCTAATCTAACGGTACCCGAGATTAAACATTAAATGGCTGCAAATGAGCACAATGAGCATGCCATGGGCTCTTTAACCTGGGTTGTTCACACAGGCTACTGAGGGGAACAGCTCTAGAAGGTGTAAGATTTTATTTTTTTATAGGCTCTAGTTACTTTATAAGCTTTATTTACTTCTCATACCTTTAGTTCCCTTTAGTTACTTTTCATAACTCTAGCTTCCTTTAGTTACTTTTCAGTTCTTCATTTTCTTTTAGTTGTTTTTCATACCTTTATTTTCCTTGCTTATACATATTAAAACTGTATTGATGACTGCTGTATTGTGCTGAGTGTTACAGTATACAGTGAGACTGTATGCTGTAACTTCTGTTGAGGCAGGATGTCTGCATCTCCAAGAAACCAGACCTGTTGGCCTGTTTTACACCCACACCTAGACTCACTTAGCATATCCCAAGTTCTGCTGTCATGGGGTGCCCTGCCGAGACACCCCTACAACCTGAGATGACCACTTCGCCAGTTTAACATACAAATTAGCATCACACACACAGGGGGCCTGCAACCCAGACCACCCATTGATCAGTGCACCTTGATCAAGATTAGGGTGCCGGAGACACACACACCTGGTCTAGATCACATATCAGCAAGCAAGCGCAGGCAGGGGTTGGCCTACTCACTCCAAATGGCCAATAGGATTACGAAGTGTGAATTGTTGTACCTTTGTTTAGGGTGGGCCAAGCCCAGCCAGATAAATGCATTGTAAAAACATAACTCGGGATTCAGAAGCCAGTTTTCCTGCGGGAGCTCTGTCTCTCTGAATCCAGCGCTGTAAGACTTCACCTGTGCTCAGACTTCCAGTAAACTTTCTGTTGATTTTAAACAGTCCTCTCCTGTCTTCACTTCTTGTGCTTCCAACAAAAGAATCGGGTAATTTCTAACAAAGGTGACATAAGAAGTGTCACAGATTGTTGTGGAAGGAATAAAGTAGCACTAGACAGAGATGTGCAACCAGCCAGTCAAGGTGTGAAGTAGATGTGAATGTCAGATCCTCGTCTTAGAAAATAACAAAAAAAACATTCACAACATCACACAACTGTTGTGCACATGGAGGCGGGGGCAAACGTGCTTACATTCTGAGTTTCTACTGTCTTTTCAAAATCAGCGGAGGTGTCATCAAAATTCTGAGGGCGCAGATTCCGTTTGGGCCTAAAAATTACTCATATCTCTGTTGATAATTCAGGAGAGCCTGACCTGAAGTTGTCAACTTATTAAGGAGAAGCATTCTGTAGTAAAAGAGATGTTTTGGGAATATCTGATGACAGTGAGTTTATAAAAGATACCTGTTTGATAAAATAACATCTCTGAGACTGACCTTATGCAGGACCCTCCAGTAAGGTCCTCACAGCAGGGAACAGTGAAAATGTAGCTTTTTGACAGTGACAGTTTACATCTGTCATAACAGCTTGCCTGTGTTTGCTAAGAGCCTTTGATGCAAATGGCATTTTTGTAAATATTATCATGAGCTTAAGATACGCATTACCTGACACTGGATTTTTGGGGCTGAGGCCAATATCAATACTTTTTTAAGATAAACACATAATATAAACACTTCTCATAAAGATCCCTTTGTTTATCTAAACATAAAAGGCACTTCTATGAACACAATTTATCCGCCTCTATTATCATTTTTTGCTTCATATTTTTGCATATTTAGTTACCTGCATTATTTTTTCTCTACATTAGTAGTATACAGTGGGGCAAATAAGTATTTGATACACTGCTGATTTTTCAAGTATTCCCACTTAAAAAGAATGGACAGATCTATAATTTTCATCATAGGTACACCTCAACTGTGAGAGACATAATCTATAAAATAATTCACACTGTTAGATTTTTAACTAATTTATTTCCATTTTGTTGCATGAAATAAGTATTTGATCACCTACCACCCAGCATGAATTCTGGCTCTCACAGACCTGTTAGTTTGACTTTAAGAAGCCCTCCTTCCCAACACAGGAGTAGTTTTACACCCAGTTTAAATATGAGCATGATTACCATGAGGGACTCTTGACACGTCACAAATACAGGCTGTGCATTTGTTTTGTTAAAGAAAGAGAACCTACAGTGGTTGCATAGGTGATAATGCTGCTATTGCAATTCAGATAATGCACAGTCTCGCTACCGTGTGCTGCTTAAGATTTTATGAAAATAAGGATAACACTGACATAAAGCTGCAGGTCAGCTAGAGAACTACTACACAAACATGTAGACACTGTATGTTCTCTCTCACTGTATGTGTATACCTTTAATAGCTGCGGTGGCCTTAGTAGCCATCCTGCCCACCAGGCACTCTTTCAACATAGACTCATAGTTCACCCATCGATGGACCTGTGCACAAACACATACACACTGCACTAGCAACACATATAAACTTATCAAGTCATCTATACCCACATTAAACAGTGTACAGACCTTACAAACCCTCATCAAAACAAAACATGTTCCTGCTAAGCTTTTTCAGGACTCTTGTCCTTTAGTTTGGCCTCAATGAGTCACAGATAACACACTAGGACTAGTATCATTTATCTGCAGCAAAATGTCCCAGTTTCACACAAAATTTCATTAATTTAAAGATGCATATACAAAAGCTATGAATAATAAGGATTTTAAACGTGCTTACCAGTAAACTAAGAACATTTCACAACTACATCAGTTGTTTAAGATATAGAAACGTTTCATTGTGAATAGCTGCAAATAACAAACTTGAGGCTTTAAGCAAGGCTCATGATCAGAGAGCCTCCTAATATAAAATGATACCTAAGTGTCTTCACTGGTACATTAGTGAACCATTAATTATTAATCATCTATCACTGAAACTACACCACATTGTTTTTTTTTAACCAGACTAAGCTTTTAACCTTCCAGGCTTATCAGATAAGGTGTTTAAAAGGTATCATCACTTGGACTATTTTCATCACCACAGTGAAAAAGTCATTTTAGTATGATCTGAGTTACTAGAAATGCATTACTGCACCTTTACCGTTTGTACCTTTAGCTTTAAAAAGTAACATCAAAACAAAGGTGCTTTACTTCCGACATCACCTTCCATACCTGGTCAAATAGGTCGGTGCCATCTATCCCGGCTGCCTTCATCAGCTCCTCTTCTCCACCAGGGTGGTAGTCCATGTAGGGAGTCACGTTGTAAACCAAACCTGAAAACACATGTAGTGATATAAATGGACAGACTCAAATAGAAGATAATGACCATGTCAAATAAATTAGGAAAAAATAGATAAGATTAAGGGGATAAATGATAAATATCTCTGGTGTCACTTTGGACAATAAAGAATACCAACAAAAAACATCAATGGAACGCACCTCTCTAGATTCAATTATATTCATGGTCAGGTATCACCAAACTGACATTAACCATCCTTCAAATCTCTTAAATACTGCATCTACCTACAGGTTATTCATGTGTTTCAGATAAGGGCTCACCTCTTATGCAGATCCAGCAGTTATCTCTTGTGTTGTGTTTCTGCAGCTCTTCCTGCGTTACTTCAATCAGGTGTCCTCTGAGCCCGGTCAGATCTTTCCCACTCTTGGAAAACCGGATCCAGTCCATTAAACTGTGACCAGGCTTCAAGGCCACCTAATGCGCAAGGACAGAGTCATGTTACACAGGGTAAGAGGGTTATTTATTCTGTTTCTGAGATGTGAAGATCAAATTTGTCATCTTGAGTCTACAGAGACTACATAATATACCAGTTATTGATGTTACTATTATTTTAATTGACACCTTCTAACCATGTTCATCATATATATGACATCAACTGAAAACGGCTCTGAACGATTTTAACCACTATTAGTCTGTGCCAGTCATGTGTGTTTATTATGTGTGATGTCACTAAGGCACCACTTTGGAGGTATAGTTGCAGCATAGAAGTGAGCAGAGCAGCACAGAAAGTAAACAGGGTGGTACAGTTAGAAGATTTACACAATAAATTGTCAAACTGGAGAAACAGAAGCAAACCAAGCAGACACCAGACCAAGACAACCTCAGCAAGGATGCAAGGGGCCATTATTTTGAACAAACTGTCATCTACAAACCCCAATTCCAAAAGAGCTGCAAAAGGGGTATTTTTTACCACTGTGTTACATCACCTTTCCTTTTAACAACACTTAATAAGCGTTTGGGAACTGAGGACACTAATTGTTGAAGCTTTGTAGGTGGAATTCTTTCCCATTCTTGCTTGATGTACGACTTCAGTTGCTCAACAGTCCAGGGTCTGCGTTGTCGTATTTTGTGCCTCATAATGCGCCACACATTTTCAATGGGAGACAGGTCTGGACTGCAGGCAGGCCAGTCTAGTACCCGTACTCTTTTACTATGAAGCCACGCTGTTGTAACATGTGCAGAATGTAGCTTGGCATTGTCTTGCTTAAATAAGCAGTGACGTCCCTGAAAAAGACATCACTTGTACGGCAGCATATTTTGCTATGTACTTTTCAGCATTAATGGTGCCTTCACAGATGTGCAGGTTACCCATGGGCACTAACACAGCCCCATACCATCACAGATACTGGCTTTGAACTCTGCGCTGATAACAATTTGGATGGTCCTTTTCTTCTTTAGCCTAGAGGACATGACATCCATGATTTCCAAAAACAATTTGAAATGTGGACTCGTCAGACCACAGCACACTTTGCATCAGTCCATCTCAGATGAGCTCGGGCCCAGAGAAGCCAGCAACGTTTCTGGGTGTTGTTGATGTATGACTTTCGCTTTGCATGGTAGAGTTTTAACTTGCACTTGTAGATGTTGAGACGAACTGCGTTAACCGACAATGGTTTTCCAAAGTGTTCCTGAACCCATGTGGTAATATCCTTTACAGAATGAAGTCTGTTTTTAATGCAGTGCCGCCTGAGGGACCAAAGGTCACAGGCATTCAGGTTTACGACCTTACATGCAGAGATTTCTCTGGATTCTCTGAATCTTTTGATGATATTATGGACTGTAGATGATGAAATGCCTAAATTCCTTGCAGTGGTACATTGAGAAATGTTGTTCTTAAACTGTTGGACTATTTGCTCATGCAGTTGTTCACAAAGTGGTGAACCACGCCCCATCCTTGCTTGTGAATGACTGAGCCTTTTGGGATGCTCCTTTTAAACCCAATAAATGATGCTCACCTGTTTCCAATGAACTTGTCCACCCATGGAATGTTCCAAACGCATGTGTTTTGAGCATTCCTCAACTTTCCCAGCCTTTTGTTGCCCCTGTCCCGGCTCTTTCAGAAAATGTTGCAGGCATCAAATTCAAAATGAGTGAATATTTGAAAAAAAACAAAAAGTTTATCAGTTTGAACATTAAATATCTTGTCTTTGTGGTGTATTCAATTAAATATGGGTCAAAAATGATTTGCAAGTCAATGTACTCTGTTTTTATTAACATTTTACACAATGTCCCAACTTCATTGGAGTTGGGGTTTGTATTATCAACACTGATCCATACTTCCTGACCACAAAACCCCTGCAGTATGCCTACCGGTCCAACAGGGCCACCTCAGATGCTATCACAGCTGCCCTTCATTATTCCCTTTCTCACCTGGAAAATGGAGACTTACATCAGGATACTCTTCACTGACTACAGCTCCGCCTTCAACACAGCTGTCCCCCACAAACTCACCCACAAACTATCCACACTGGGTCTGCACCCCACCCTCTGTGACTGGGTCCTGGACTTTCTGACTGGCAGGCCCCAGACTGTCAGGATTGGCGATAGGACTTCAGCCAGCATTGTTACAAACACTGGCACCCCACAGGGATGTGTCCTCAGTCCCATCCTATACACCCTGTTCACCCACGACTGTGTTGCCTCCCACAAAGACAACATCATCCTGAAGTTCACGGATGACACCGCAGTGACTGGTCACATCACTGGCCGGGACGAAGCAGCCTACAGGAGGGAGGTGGCCGGTCTGGTGTCCTGGTGCCAGGACA